GTGCACCTGGCAGCCGAGATGCCTGGGTTTAGGGTTTAGGGTTTAGGGTTTAGGCACGCCCCAAAACCCCAAAAGCCTACTACACCCTGAGAGGCGCAGCCAGGTGGCTGGTACTTCGCGTCATGGTGGTGTAGCTGACGGTGCTCGAGCTGGTGAAGGTGTAGGTGAAGGTGGTGGTGACCGTGGTCGAGTCCTGCTTTAGGGTTGAATGATTAATGTAGGTACACCAAACCCTATTCTAATTATTAAGGCCCTATATTAGGGATTGGGGTTTAGGCTTAGGGTTTAGGGTTTAGGGCGATGTGCACGAAGGCGCCGAAGCCGGAAGGCCCCGACTTTCAACTCTCAGCCCTGAACGCTGAACTGGGCTAGACCTCCACGACCCACAGCGTCACAGTCCAGGGTTTGGGGTTTAGGGTTTAGGGTTTAGGGTTTAGGCTTAGGGTTTAGGGTTTAGGGCTATCAAGCTCCCTGTGGAAATGAGGGAGCCAACCACCCGGAGGAGCATAAGAACAGAATATGGCAAAGCTTCAAGACATGGGCAACACCACCATAATCACCACTCTCACCATCATGAGCGCCATCCTTACCACAAGCATCATCAGCAGCGATACTACTCTGCAGCAGCACGAACCAAACTGTAGAAGAAGACAGGGGAGACAGGGAGTATGGGAACCCAGAGAATGATGCTTATGAACCCTGAGACGAGGAGGAGGAGGGACGACAAAGGCGCAGAGAATTTTGGCCATGACTGGCAGGAAGAGAGGGAACGCAACCAAGCCCTAACCCCTGCACTTGATGCCAAATCCTAAACCCTAAACCCCACCCCAAAAAAACAGAACGAGGAACTCGAGGAAGGGGATTTCTGAGGGACGCGCCGTCAGGTTGTCGTCGCTGAGCTCCCCTGCTGCAGCTCTAAACGATGTCGCGTCACCTGCAAGATAGAGGCCTTAGGGGGAGACTTGCCACTCAAGGGATTATTATTATTGTTACTACTACTATTAGTATTATGTTTATTCCTCCTATAAGGGCTTATTATTCTTGTTGTTGTTACTATTAGGGTTCAGGGTTCAGGGTTTAGGGTTTAGGGTTTAGGGTTTTTCAGGGTTTAGGGCTTGGGGTCTAGGGTCTAGGGCAAGGGCTCGGGGTGCAGGATTCAGGGTTCAAAATTTCAGGGCTTGGGGTTTAAGGTTTAGGGTTTACGGCTGAGGGTTGAGGGCTCAGGCTTGCGAGTCTTGTGCACCGTCCACTCGTTTCCTAAACCCCAAAGACATGAAGCCTCTAAGCTCCTTAAAACCTGAAGCCTCTGAGCGCGTAAAGAGTAGCCTACTATAAAACTCTATAGTACCCTTAACCCCCAACTTGAAGGCCTAAACCCTAAACCCTAAACACTAAAACCTAACTAAACCCGTAGACCCCCTATAAACCGTTAAACCCCCCAAGTCGAAGCCCAAGTCACCTCGGAGGCGTCGGGGTGCCGCGTCGCCAGCGCTGGCGCGGGGGAGATCCAGAGCGCACCTGGGCTGCAAGGCTTCGGGTTTTAGGGGTTTTTAGGGGTTTCGGTTGGTTTTTTAAGGGTTTTAGCGGTTTTAGGGGTTTTAGGTGTTTTTAGGGTTTTTAGTGGCTTTGGTGGTTTTTAGTGGTTTAGGGTGTTTTAGGGGTTTTTAGGGTTTGAGGGTTTTATGGATTTTAGGGTTTTTAGGCGTTTTTAGGGTTTTTAGGGTTTTTAGGGTTTTTTTGGTTTTTGTGATGTTTAGGGCTTTTAGGGTTTTTAGGGTTTTTAGGGGTTTTAGGGGTCTTAGGGTTTCTAAGGGTTTTAGGGGTTTTTGTGCTTTTAGGGTCTTTAGGGTGTTTTTGGGTTTTTCGGGTTTTTTGGGTTTTCGTAAAGGCGTTTAGGGTTTAGGGTTTCTAGGGTTTAGTCATGGTGCTTCTTCCGGTTTTCTGAAACCCCCGACAGGTGCCAGCCGGGATCCCACACCCCTGAGCCTGTCAAGAAGAAGACAGAGCATGTAGACAGGATGGCTTTCGTGCTTCCCCAACTCAAGTCCCCGGAGAGAGGCGTCAGTCATAGTGTACCCCAAAGCCCAAACCCTAAACCCCAAACAGGCCGCGAATGATGATGAACCCTAAACCCTGAACCCTGAACCCTGCTGTAAGCCCTAAGCCCTAAACCCTAAACCCTAAACCCGAAACCCGAAACCCTAAACCCTAAGCAGTGAACCCTCGGCCCGAGGAGCAAAGCGAAGAGCGCGCCGATCCTGGAAGCCCGGACGCCCAGCGGCCCTTAGAGGCCCCGTTTAGGATTTAGGATTTAGGGTTTAGGGTTTAGGATTTCGAGTTTAGGGTTTAGGATTTAGGGTGTTTAGGGTCCAGGATTTCGAGTTTAGGGTTTAGGGTTTAGGGTCCAGGATTTCGAGTTTAGGGTTTAGGATTTAGGGTTTAGGATCCAGGATTTCGAGTTTAGGGTTTAGGGGGTTCTAGAAGAGCTCTACAGATACGGCTTTAGACTGTAGAGATTACTTTTGAGGGCCTTAATAACTACCTATATCATTTCTGTTTTTTGTTGGAGGGGGGTCCGTATTATAACTAGAGTATACTATACCCCCGAACCCTATTCTCTAAGTTTTACGGCCCCTATATCCCTAAACCCTAAACCCTAAACCCTAAACCCAAACCCCTAAAGGCTGGGGCTTTTCGGCATGGAGGTGGAGGCTTCGGACTCATGGCTTAAAGGCTTCGCGTTGAGCACTGAAGTTGAGGGTTTAGGGTTTAGGGGTTTAGGGGTTTAGGGTTTAGGGTTTAGGGCACTCTTATGAGCAACGCCATCGCGCCCAAATCCGAAAAGGATTGCACTTGTCTGCGGCCTGTATCACTCTCACCATGGATAGCTGTGGTAGCGCTTTCTCGAGCTGACGATGACATACGATGACGACCTTCAAGAGTATGAGTATGATCACAGCTCATTCCATTCACCTCTTTGTCATCAAGGTTGCTTTAGGCAGCTCCAACATCACGTTTGCCGTCGTTGTTCCTTGTCGCTGTTTATCCCGTCTGGATTACTGTACGGTCGAGATCATCTGAACAGCCACATGAAGATGTACTATCAGCATCGTGGCCATTACTGGCATCTTTGTCGATGTTCATTTCACTTACTACTCTCCTTGCTCACATAGTTTCAATACGCTCCCTGTTCTGATGGGCCTGTTTCCTGCACTGCCGATGGATTGATGTTCTGCTGTTCTGCTCACAGTGTTCTCGCTGTTGTCATGGTCCTCATGATTTCCGAGAATCCGAGAATCTTCTATCTGCTCATGAATCTCATGATTCTGGGACGACTGATTCTTGCTAAGTTCAAGGGTGCTGCTTGGCATTCGTCTTGCTACTCCTACACATTTGACTTGGTGCCTTGAGTGCGAAGCCAGAACAGTGAGAGCCAACTGACAACTGTAAAACAGCAATAAGCATAACAACAACAAGATTGAATCCCAACAGAAACGATGGTTATTATGAACTATGACTACTATTATTATTATTATTAGTAGTAGTAGTAGTAGCAGCAGCAGCAGGAGTAGTAGTAGTAGTAGTAGTAGTAGCAGCAGCAGCAGTAGTATTACATAAAGTGCTCTTACTCACATCACCACAGTCAGGACCATCATGATCATCTGCATGGGTTGCTTGCGACACCTTAGCATCAGCAAGCTTGAGCTTCGGTACGTTGGCCGTGCACGGTTAGTGGGAAAGGGTTTAGGGTTTAGGGCTTGGGGTTTAGGGTTTAGGGTTTAGGAAACCCCTGACGGAATGAAACCTAGAGTAGTCCTGCTCGAAGACTACATTCTTGTTGATACTGCTGCGAAAACAAGAGTGTGTTTGTTCTTGCTGCTGCCATTTTCTTCACGACTATTCGGAAGGAGATTTCCTGAGCGCATAGAGAGCAGTAAAGCTACGCCGAAAGTAGTAAGTTGAAATCAACAAATGGTAGCCTCCCATCCAATCTGAAATCCATAGCGAAGCTTGCTCTCCCAGAAAAAGTAAATCGACTTTAGTATCTCTGTCTGTGGTCCAAGCCACGTTGACAGAAGCGCCGCGTCGTCATGATGCGCACCAGGGAAACGGTCAGTGTGCAAGAAGAAGACCACGTGAGCGACGTGCTTGGTCGCTATGTAGAGTTTTAAGTTCAAAATGTTCAATCAAAATCGCTGGTGCTTACTTCCTCATCATACTTCACTTGTACACCAGCTGTGGCATGCAGAAGCTAGAAAGGCTTCTTGCTCTGAACTACATGCTTCATATCTGAGTCGTTCTTTATCGTGCACAGGTCTGCTGGCGGCCGGCAGCACTCCGTTGCTTTCAAAGATTCAAAGCTCCAGGGCTCAGAGGGCATTTTGGGCGTTCGAGGCCTTAGCTGGGATCTCAGCATGTGCTATCACCACGGTTTCTTCACTGAATGCTGCAATTCACGGCAGGGAAAGCTCCAGGAAGCAGTGCATTCTGCACAGCTCAGTGGAGCCTGCCCGCAGCTCACACCAAGAGAGCGACCCCCTCGGGGGTACAAAGATGGCCTTGCGACTGCCATGCATCCCTTGCGGCTTGTCGTGGCATGCCAAATCTTCAAGTGCAACAGCAAACCCACGTTGAACATCCCTTGGGGATCCATGAGTCATGCTGTCCCACCGAATACTACGACACTGCACCGTCGTCGAAGGCTTTCTTTTGAAGCTCTGGGCCGCCCCATGACTTTATATACCTAAACTATGGGATTTATGGTACTATACTATATTTGGGTCATGCAGGATTTTGTCCATCAACAGTACCTCTCATGGCCCGGCCTCCTTTGGTGTCCTCTTCGGGGGGTCACGAGGCTGCTCCCATGTGAAGTGCTCCCACCCGGAAGTCACAGGAATGGCTCTCCGAGACCGGGCTCGGGTTTAGGGTTTAGGGTTTCGGGTTTAGGGTTTAGGGTTTAGGGTTTAGGGTATCCAGGCACCCATCCAGGCATGCCTCAACGGCGACGCAGCTTCTTCGCGATCTGGGCAGCGATCCAGTTCTCAGACTCCCCCCGACACTCCACATAAACCTTGCTGCCTGGAATTGTTGCGGCAAGGAGTGCATCGGCCTTGCCGTCCTTGTCGTAGGGGTGATCTGGGCCGAAGGCGGCCCTTGGGGGCCAGTCGTCACGAAGCCTAAGGGGGAAAACCTCGATATTCCGGCCCCAAGCGAACTGGAGCTCCTCATACGAACAGCGCTTGCTCTGAAGATTGGTCTCCTTTAGGAACTCGTTGACGGTCAATTCTCCGACAGGTTTGCTCGGTTCAAACTTCCCTGGCTTCTCCATTTCGCCATAATCTGCCGAGCACACGGCGAGCAGCACACCCTTGCTCGCTGCGAGCCGATTCAGGTGGGACAGTGTCATGGCTTGGGCATCTGCCAGTAGCACCGGGTAGTTCCGTTGCTTTAGCAGCCGGTATACTCGACGGAATTTAATCTCCGTCTCTCCACCATCGAATCTCATAGAGAACATCCCGGTGCGGGCGCCCGTGCCGGCAGGTATGTCCACCTGCCACCGAACCACCAACACACTCAGTTGTCTGGGGAAGCGTTGATGGGCCCATGGGCTTGGAATGCTCGGATACTTCTACGAATACAATATGATCCCGATTGCAGTTGTGACTGGTGGCTGCTGCATTTCGGCAAGAGAACTGTGCTGAGTTCCTGTTAGATAGAAGTCCACTGCAATAGCCCCAACCAGACCAGCCTCAAAAGGAAACAACTAAAGTTTTAATTGTTTCGTCTTGCTGCGAATCTGCGAGGCACATGTTGCGATCGGTACGATACTGCATCTATTGAACACCGAAATCACGGGAGAATACTATACGAGACGGAGAAAGAGAGACAGAGAGACAAAGAGACAAAGAGGCAGAAGGGCGTCCGTGGGGCGAAGAGTACACAGGTCCACCTCATCTGTGAAGAAGAAGGGGTTGAAGAGCAAGCTAGTCGGCTTTGACATGGTGTTGCCAGTGGTATCCCAGACCTCGGCTGCCATGGCTTTCTGACTAGACAGCACAACAAGCACAGGCAGCGTCAGACGTGGAATCTCAGTGCAACCCTGCCAATAACTCACCATGACGGTTCCCGTTGTTGACCGGGTGCCTCTTAGAAAACCTGTACCAACAAGGCCCTCGTTCGCTGCTGAAAGCAACCCAAAGGCTGTCGAGGTCTCGTGCATCGGCCGCTGTGTGCTGTCGTCCGGCTGAGCACTCTCGACGAATGCTTTGTCATCGCCAACTGTTTGGGAAACTGTTTGGGATGCACCTGCGTCTGCACTGGTACCCGCTGGGGCACCATGAGTCTCCGCATGGCTCTCCTCTATGGGCAAGGCTTCTTCATACACTTTGGCAGCAGCCTTTTGGATACGCTGGACAGACTCCTTCTCTGAAAGCGCTTCGTCAGAGGATTCAGAGAATGTCACAATGCCTAAAAATTCCAGCCAACCTCCCTGCACCCTTTCATTGACCACGATGGCCAAGAGCTGTGCTCGCGTTAAGCCTCTATAGAGCCGTGAGCGTGTCTGTAAGTCTTCCAGGTGGCGCTGAATAGGAGCATCCAGCCCAACACAAACGACCACAAGCTGCTCCAAGCCATCTGCATTGTCCACGGTGTCGAGAACGATATTCTCCTGCTTTGCCTGCACCGAAGCCGAACTCCGCACCCTAGGCCACTTTTCAACTACCTCGAAAGCCTCATCCCCACATCTTGGCCGATGAAAAGCCAGAAGCCCCGAAGCCTGAACCTGAACTCCCAAAGTCACTCGGCAACTACTCCTGAAGTCTGACAAAAATCCAAACTCCCACAGCCTAAACCCCCAAAAATCAGGTCACTGAACTGCTCATGAATCATAAACCTTCGACTCCTGATCGTCCCAACCCTAAACCCAGAACCCCGAACCCCTAAAGCCCCTAAAGCCCCTAAAGCCCCTAAAGCCCCTAAAGCCCCTAAAGCCTAAACCCTGAACCCCTAAAGCCCCTAAAGCCCGTGCCTGCTTGCTTCTTCCGAGCAGGCGCTCCGGCAGGCAGCTCAGGGACTCCTGGAGTTTTCCTAAACCCTAAACCCTTATTATTAAAAGGACCCCAAAATAGGGTACCCCTAAACCCCTCAACCCTGAACCCTAAACCCTAAAACCCTAAACCCTAAACCCTAAACGGGGTGCCCCTTATTATCTTGAAACTCCCTCCTCGAAGCTCACGAGGCGCAGGGAGCGATGCGGGAACTCCCGGCTCCTGGGAGCGCTGTCGGCGTAGGGCTTTGGGGTCTTTAGGGTTTTAAGTGTTTAGGGCCTTTAGGATTTATGGTTTAGGAGTCTTTACGGTTTAGGGTCTTTTTAGGGCCTTTAGGGCTTAGAGTCTTTGGAATCTTCAGGGTCTTTAGGGTGTAGGGCTCAGGGGTTTTAGGGCTCCGGGTCTGTAGGGTTTAGGGTTTAGGGCTTTGTAGCGTTCAGTGTTTCGGTTCAGGGTTTCGGAAGGGTGCGATCGAAGCGCCTTGAATTTGGGGTTCAGCGTTCGGGCCGGGTAGGGTTTTGTTTAGGGCCTGTCGCAGTGCGTATGCAGCGAGTGCTGGGCTGCGGCATGTCATTGCCAAAATGGCAGTCAGTCAGTCTCGCAGTTTATGGAGAATGCTAGTGGTGTCTGTTGCAAAAAACCACCCCTGAACCCATGCAACTTCAACAACCCTTCACCCACACGTTCAGGAATTTCAGGCGATGCTTCCTTAATGCAGCCCAGTTGCAAGTCTTTCTCTAAGACTCGTTTGATCCTCTTGCAGATGTCGGAGTCTGGAACGAGGAGGGCGACACGCCCATGCAAGCTGACGTCAGGGAATGTCCTGGGAGGGCAGAGCCCAAGAGAGTTCAGGGTTTAGAGCCTAGGGTTTAGGGTTCAGGGTTTGGGGTTAGGGTTTAGGGTTTAGGGTTTAGAGGAGCTTAGGGTTTAGGGTTCAGGGTTTGGGGTTAGGGTTTAGGGGTTAGGGTTTAGGGTTTGGGGTTAGGGTTTAGGGTTTAGAATTGGAAAGCCGGGGGTCTTTGCCACATGCCAGAGCGCTTTGATGATATGCTCTGCATACGCCTTCGGCAAGTCCCCTCCCACCTCGCTGGCCGCATCGAAACCCTGGAACCCTGCACCACATGTATCATGACTGAGCTTTTACATGGAGCAACAGGATGAAAATACTAAATTATATAGTAATACTGTAATTCTCTTCGAAAATTCCATAAATGCTACCGTATTCCTGCAAAATACTCTAATATTACGTACTAGACGAATGAATACTGTATTGCTATGATATTACTACACTGACACTATGAGGACCCAAGCACCCTAAACCCTAAACCCTAAACCCCAAACCCTAAACCCTAAACCTCACTATGAGGACCCGAGCATCGAGAAGCCGAGCTGCTGGGTCGAAGAGGAAGGTCTTCAGGGGCGGTCCCTCGGAGCCCAAAGAGCTCACGGCGTCTGCTCGCTGCGTGTTCAGCTGAAACCTTGGGTTTAGGGCTTAGGGCTTCGGGTTTTGGGTTTAGGGCTTAGGGCTTAGGTTTAGGGTTTAGGGTTCGGACAACACCATGCACCGCTTGATTTAGGTTTCGGGGCTGTTACACAGAAACAGCGCCCCCCCCCCCCTCCTTTCCCTCCCCTTCCCTCCGCCCCACAAATACTTGTAAGGCCGGAAACGTGGCTGCACCTGTCACTATGCGTTTAGTGCTGCGGACCACCTCGGATAGTTTCACCCTGGCCATGTCGGGATAGGTCCTTGGCTTCAAAGTACCAAGAATAGACAAGTCACGGCCCTAAGACCCTAAGATTAAGGCATGTAAGGCCCTGGGTCATGGGCGACATCTGAACACTTTTCAACCCAAAACCCTAAACCCTAAACCCTAATTATCAATCCCTAAAGCCTAAGCCCTAAACCCGAAACCCCGATATGACTTTGAAGTTTAGGTCTCCACCGCTTCTCAGAAGCCCAAAGGCTGAAATTGGCTGGTTGTATTAAGGGATTTTAGCGTTTTAGGGTCTGGAGTTTAGGGTATAGTGCTTAAGATCTAGAGTTTAGGATTTAGGGTCTAGGGTTTGGGGTTTAGGGGCTTATTGGTTTAGGGTTTAGAGCTTAGGGCTCTTGACACCGTCCGAAGGTCTGGCTTACCGAAGCGGACTGCGACTCATCTGACAGGAGCAGCCGGCGCTCTGCCGATAGGCTTGGCAGGAGCGTCGAGCTCATCTCCTAAGTGTGGCACGCACTCCCCATGGTATTGGCCGGGTTGACCGGCACAATCTTGCCGAGAAGCAAGAAATCGCAAGAGCATGCCAAGACAACAAGGGTACTTCTGCGGACGGCCAAGCGACTTCAGGCGGAAGAGAGAAGATGTGATGACTTTCATCGTAGACAACCATGTCACACTTTTCTGCGCCGGGTTCGGCCACACGTCGGAGTATGCGATCACCGTCCAGGGAGGGCAGCTGGAAGTGTTTGAAGGGGCTGTGCAGCAAAGTGATTCTGGAGAGCACCTGCTGAATCCGGCTTTGCACGAGACCCGGCTCGCTGTGATGCTTTCCTAGGCTGTCTTGGAGTCTTGGAGAAACGCGCAACAAAACCTTTGTCCCTTGTTTCTCCGCCGAGGTTCGCGATGCGAGTCGCATCGAAAGCCAGCGAATGAAGTGAAGGCCAAGGTTTCCGGAGGGAGCGACGTAGAGCAGACGGGCTGAGGGATGGGTGTTGAGATGCTCGAGCACGTGCTGCACCGCAACGAAAGTCTTTCCCGCACCCGCCGGGGCAGAGAGATGAACGTCGTCGAGGCCCTCCATCTCTTTCAGCTTCACCTGGATCGTGCTTCACAGTTGTTTGCAAACTGACCGCTACTGGCTCCCTCTTTAGAGGCACGAGATGGAGATTCAACCCCGATGCTTGCTCAAACCCGTCTTAACAGGGCATGATTACCAACATCGCTGTTCATGATCATCTCAATAAAGCAAGGGTATTACCACTCAGGGGTCTACACTACCCGAGCGCTCCGCTCAGCCTGCTGATGCTCGGTCAGCTCCTTCAAGCCCAGGAGGCTATCCTCGTAGAGCTCGAAGAGCCGGCTCCTGTCGAACTTGACCTTGAACTCCTCAGCTCTGGCTATCATTGCCACTGCCTGTCTATATGGCACGTATGTTCCGGGAAGAAATTCTGAGGAAGAACCCACGCGACACAAGAAAGAAAAATGGATCCATACAGGACAGAGGTTCCGGAGCTCCGCGCGCCAGGCCTGCGTTGACGCTCCGATCGAAGTCGCCGCTCAAGACCCGATCTCTCAGTGCCAGGAGCGCCTCGATGTGGGGAATCTGAATGCCGATGCTCAGCGCCGGGGTGCCGCTGCGGAGGCGGCAGGCGGTGGGAGGGCGCAGTTCAACGTCCGCGAGGCATTGGCGCAAAGCCGGCTCCAGGATGTCCCCTTAGCATGAGGCAGGGCTTCACGCTGTCCATCCCATCTATCTGCTCCTGGAGGTGTCTTGACTTTCAGGAGTGTCCAACAAAAGAACGCGAAATCGATCCGGAAAGATCCCACAATATGCCACACGTCCACTGAGCACAACTAGCATGCCTAGCATGTAGACATCATCTTCGGTCTTAGGCCGCCACCCCAACGGTGCAACAGCTGCTCAACCGCCACGTTGAGGTGTCGGACTTCGCCGGCCTCAAAGATTTCCTTCGTAGCTTTCGGAACCACCACGGTTCTTCGAGATGCTAATTCTCGTCGAGCCCGAAACCCTAAACATCCGCCCAACCCTATAAACTTCAAAAACAGAACTCACTTCGAAAGCCTCCGAGTGTCTCCGGAGTCGTCGTCACACTTGATCTGCCAGACAAACTCCGTGGACTCATCGCCGGACACGGCTTTAGTCACTCTTTCCATCTGCTTTACCACGATGCCCTTGCGCCATCTGGAGTCAGCTTCGGTCTCATGCAGAGCATCCACTTGGGCACCCAGCGGATACTCATTTTTGAGAAAAGCCGTGACATCCACCTCCTCGTAGTCCCATCCAGGCTGTTGCTTCTGCATGAGGTTCGCGGTTGCCAGCTCGGATTTCTGCGAGCCGCCACATCCGACCTCGGCTGTTCCGTTGGGGGTGTCGAAGACGAAGGACAGTCTTCTACAAAGGGTCCCGTGCCGCTGAAGATGGTGTAGGTACAGCTTCTTCTCGGAGAGGGGCCTCTGCCTTTAAGGTACGTGGCAAGATTCCTTTGGCCTGCATGCGTTCCTCATGTCGTCAGAACCAACGCAGCCCACGACTCCAAATCCTAAACCTCTGTAGACGTTGATCGGCAGGTTTGGGCTCTTGAACGGAACATAAACAATTTTGTAGGGCCTCAATAATTACCAATACTAGTTTGGCGGTCCCGTACTACAATTACAGCATAATGGGCACCAAATATTAAGGCCCCCATGTTACATCCTCAACCATAGTCCCAAAGGCCTCAAAGCGCCCCAAATTCCGAAAACCTAGACTCAACGAAGAGGTGTGCGCCCCTTAAGTTGCAGCTGCGTCTCCCCGTCCCAGAGGTCCACCTCGCAGTCGGAAAGGTCCTCCATGCTGGGAATTCCGTAACCCACCTGGCAGGAGCGGCTGAGATTCACACGTCGGCGAACACGCTGCGAAGACGGTCGAAGAGCACACGACAATGCAAATGTCGTGGCAGAGAGTTGCCCGCTATGTACCAGCAGGAAAAACAAGCTTTCGCGAATTCGGGCTCCCTTCATGCATGCACGCTACCAGTACAAGTCCATAGTGGAAAAACGGGGTGCTGGAAAGAAGCTCTCTGTTGAAGGGGTCGCGCTTTCGTCCAGCACATGCAGCGACGGGATCACTATAATTAGGGTATAGTACCGCTGAGGGTCGAGAACGAATCGAAGTGGCATGTGCTGTGTTGCACTGCTCCCACCTGGCCGGGAAAGAAGACTGCCTTCAGCCGCTGCTTCTTCTCGACGGCCGTGCATACCAGGTCGAACCAGCGTTTGTACCAGGCACATCCCCAGGAGGCCGTGCGGCCCATCTTCTCCCATTGCTCTTCAGCTCTCTTCGTGGCTGCTTCCTTCTCTTCATCGGTTGCATCTTGACGGATGGGGACCGCGTTCATTGCAGCGGCTTTCTCCCAGTGCTTCTTGATCCTATCGTCCGTGTACGGTGCCTTCAGGACTGAGAGGTAGCCGAACGCCCTGAAGTCGCGCTCGCCATATATCCGTGCGCAGTAGCACTTCCCCGGATTCTGGGGATCATCCGCGTGCTTTCCCAGGCCTCAGGATCAGAACGAGTTGAGAGATGCGAAACCTGGTAAACCGATGTCGATAGAACCCAAAAGTGATGCACTGTGGTCAAAGACAAGCAACCCATGCTTTGCTCTTGCTCGGGACTTGCAATTCATGCAGGCAGGCAGGTAGTGCATGTAGCACGCAACATGTGTAAACTGTATACCACTACGTGTCACAAGGTATGTATGTATGTATGGATTGATGGACGGACGGACGGACGTGTGGATGGATAGATGGTTGCCGATTGTTCGTGCATGTTCACACGGTTACCCAGCAACGTACAAACGTATTGACATAATCACACATTTGTGCATTTGACTGCTTTCTGACTTTAGGGTCCGGAGGTTGTTGCTTTGCAGAATACTATAGGGCCTCAATAATTAGAATCAGGGTCATAAGAATAATGTAGAGGCATGATATGGGTAATTCTTCCGGCTTCTACAGTATGCTTGGTTTCAGATGGAACTTTCTGTTCCGTGTAAGACCAGGACCTGACCTAAGGTCGGCACCGTCCGCTGGGGAGCAGAGGAAGACGCAAGCCACCGAGTCGAGGTGAAACTCCTCCCCGGAAAGGATTTTAGATAGGGTTTAGGGCTTAGGGTTAAGGGTTTTAGATAATGAGAGTAAGGATGAGGAGGGGGTTTTGGGGTATATTGCAGCATTTAGGGACCATAACTCAAGAAGACAAGGATTTCAGGTTGGAGGTCTCGACGGATCTCGAATTCAGGATCCAGCCGGATTTGGTCGGGCTCTCGTGTTTAGGAGCTGGTGCTTCGGATGTCGGGGCTGGTGGTTCCAGATCTTTAGGCGTGAGTGAGGGGTATAAGATCTGCTCATGGCTTCTGTACACTTCTACCGAAATTGGCACTTCGTAATCATACCTAGCAACCCTACAGTTATATAGGTCATGACCAATTCACAGCCATGGACTAAGAGCCCGCAGTGCCTCCAGGCACAAGAGAGGCAGTGGATTCACAAAGACTGTTGGGCCTGACGTCCCACAACTTTTCAACCAATACCTAGGGTACTTAGGGTACTTTATACTACTGGTATTATACAGGTATCAGGCCCTAAACCCTAAACCCTAAACCCATAAGGGGATACTATGTAATCTTTTTTGGTGTTTCTTGGGGTAAGCCAGAACTTGAGCTCGGCGGTCAGTTCGACCGAGGGCGTTGAGAATCTGGGCTTTGGGCTCTGGGATTAGGATTAGAGTTGGGGGTTTGGGGATTACGTTTAGGTTTTAGGGTCGGGTTTAGGGTTTGGGGTTTAGGGCTTGAGGTTCAGGCCGCAACTGAACAGTTGAAACCCTGCGCAACCTTATGACTTTGCGCCTTTGTCCGATAGCGGCAGAACCCGTGAACCACGCTTAGCACCGTCTGAACCACGCGCTCCTTCACGAGAGCTTCCCAGCCTCCGCGGTGGAAGGCTTTTGAAGCTCTTGGCTCGCTTGAACAACGTGGGATACAGGGCTTGCAAGCGCTTCCGGGAAGGTGCAGCCCGTAACCAAAGAAGGTGTTGCACGACTTCGCATGTGGCCGTCCTAGATCTTGCGATGTGGACTTCTGAGTTTGGATCGATACGGTTTGAAACCTCACCGCACAACCCTGGGAACCGAGGTCCTGCACCCTGCGAACCCAAGCCCCAGAGCCCGGCTCGTCCGGCCTGCTGCATACTTCCCCGGGAAGGAGATCCAGCATGTTTTGGCCTCATGGGTTTAGGGTTGGGGTTTAGGGTTTAGGGTTTAGGGTTTAGGGTTTTGGCCTCATCCCGGATGTGCCCATGGTAGCTGGGGTCGATTTCCGCCGACTCGGCAATGGCGGCTTCCTGGTCTCTTGAGCAGGTGCGGAAGTTAGGCAAGCGGGGTCCCGGGCAGCAAACCCGAACTAGCGTTGAGACTGCCGCTTCCCGGGGAGCTCGATACTTCTGCGAGCTATCTGTGGCTTCTCTCCTAAACCCTAAGGCCTAAACCCTACTTCTCTATGATTTTGCTGCCAGTTTGTCCGTGCATGTAAACCCTGTGTTCAGGGCTGGGCTCAAGACGCCTGGACCCTTTTCTTCGGGTTGGCTGTGATTCGTTGAAGCTGCTGGGGACGAGCACTCCCAAGTCATAGCAGGATCACGGCCAATAAACGGTGGAATGACAATCAAATCAAAGGTGAATAAGTCATGTCATATGCCGGGCGGCACGATGGCTCCATGAGCACGCAGGGAACTTCACACGCCAGTAGAATAGCTAAACACTGGCAACCACTCCCAGTACGTTGATTCACGCCCGTAACATGCCTCTAGGCCGGGATCAGGACAAAGAGCAAGAAAGCGGCGCAAACCGCTCGAAAGAGACTGCAGTGACTAGAGCTTTGCCAATAGCAAGCAGTTGCGAAAGCACAGAGACATCACAAAACCGAATCGGCGATTTATCACAGAGAAAGGAGGTTGCTCCGCTGGGCAATCTCAAAACTAACGAAGTCTCAAGAGACGGCCCTAGCCTCAATCCCAAAACGAAAAGCCGACAACAACAGGCGAAGAGAGCTACCTTCCATTTCCATTTCTCAGACACAACAGAACTTGCCACACCTAAACCCTAAAACCCCAAACCCGTAACCCTAAACCCTCAAACCCTGCCCCCTGAACCCTCAACAAAGCCTGGCTCAAACCTCCGAGCTTCTTCCCTGAGGCTCAAGAGCAGAGTCTCTCGCAGCGTCGCCATTGCCAGCCCGAGCCTGGATCCCTAAACCCTCAACGATAAATCCTAGATCCTAAACCCGAAATCCTGAACCCTAAACCCATCTCCCAAGCCCTCTACACCAGACCCTCCAAACCTTTCGAAAATTTAGGGCGTCGGGCTTGGGAATCGAAAACTCTCCAAAGCCCTCTTCGAACCCCTCTTCGCCCCTCTAGCAGCCTCCTAGAACATCTTTGATCATCTCCTAAGGCTGGCCTTAAACCTTCTAACATGACATCCCCCTCCTCTACGGAATCGAGACTTAGGGTTTATAGAGTTTAGGAACCCCCTAAAGGTGCAAAAATGGCGAGGAGATCAGGTCGGCCTGCTACGGATCTATCTGCTCGCGGCGTGGGCGCCACTCTGACAGAAGCGCCTCGAGGTCATGATGGTCGCATCGAAGAGACGGCCAAAAGGTGCACCGTTCGAGCGACGCTTCTGGCTGAGATGCTGGGCTCAGAGTTTGAAGAGAGTTGCTCGGATTTTGGGTTCAGGGTTTAGGGTTTGATACTAGTATACTATGATTGCCATTGCTACCATTCTGAACCATTCTTACTAAGAGTTGCTGAAGTGTGCTTGCTTGCACCTGATGCTTCACCATCAAGACTCGCGGCACATGTCAGCCAAGACGGCTTTCAGCATGTTTCGTGAGTGACTGGTTCTGCAGGCACGGATCTGCTTGCGGCCAGGTGACCCCTAAACCCCTATCCCTGAATCCCTGAAACCCTAAACTCCTCAACCCTCGAACCCTGAAGCCCGAAACCCGAAAAAATGACCCAAATTAAACCCTTAACCCCGAACTTTCCCTAAACCCCAAACCCTAAAAGGCCCCAAAACCCTTCATCCCTTCAAACCCTGAACTTGGCGGAGAGGGCCCCCAACGGATCCAGATTTCCGGCTTCGGGATCTGGGGTACACCATGCTCCAGGGCTAAAGGATGCAGGGTTTAGGGCTTAGGGGCTTAAGGGCTTCGGGTTTGGGTTTTAGGGTTTAGGGTCTAGGGGCTTAAGGGCTTAAGGGCTTTGGCTTTTGGGTTTAGGGTCTTAGGGGCTTTAGGGCTTGGGGGTTTGGGTTTAGGGCGCCTTCCCTGCTTTGATGATCCGACTTTTCCACTGAAAGCGGCGATTCGCTGCAGACCGAGCTCCACGAAGCAGTGCATTCTGCACAGCTCAGGTGATGTGGCCTAGGGCTCGCACCAAGAGAGCGACCGCTCCACGTTGCAGAGACTGCCACGGGGCAGTTTCTCCCTGGTTCTTTGTGGGGGATGGGGGATCCACATGATAATTAGAGTAGCCCCTATGAGCCATTCCGGCCCCAAGAGCCCTAAACCCATTAGACCCCATTCCCTAAGAGCCAGGGAGGGCTTAGTTAGGGTGCCACGAGCACACATGAAAACGAAAAAGAGCCCAGGCTCCGCTTCGAGGAGTCGGCTCTGAGGTTGCCCTGTACAGGATGCTGAGGATATGATGACTCTACTACCTTCTAAAGGTCCTATAAGGGTCCTACAAGGGTTCATTATAGGGGACTCTACTACCTTCTAAAGGGCCCATAAGGGTTACTACAAGGGTTCATTATAGGGGACTCTACTACCTTCTAAAGGGCCGATAAGGGTTACTGCAAAGGTCATTATAGGGGGCTCTACTACCTTCTACAGGGCCTATAAGGGTTACTACAAGGGTCATTACAGGGGACTCTACTACCTTCTAAAGGGTCGATAAGGGTTACTACAAGGGTCAGTGTTTGGGACTCTACTACCTTCTAAAGGGCCGATAAGGGTTACTACAAGGGTTATAGGGGACTCTACTACCTTCTAAAGGGCCTATAAGGGTTACTGCAAGGGTCATTATAGGGGACTCTACTACCTTCTACAGGGCCTATAAGGGTTACTACAAGGGAATTTTATAGGGGACTCTACTACCTTCTAAAGGTCCTATAAGGGTTACTACAAGGGTCATTACAGGGGACTCTACTACCTTCTAAAGGGTCGATAAGGGTTACTACAAGGGTCAGTGTTTGGGACTCTACTACCTTCTAAAGGGCCGATAAGGGTTACTACAAGGGTTATAGGGGACTCTACTACCTTCTAAACGGCCTATAAGGGTTACTGCAAGGGTCATTATAGGGGACTCTACTACCTTCTACAGGGCCTATAAGGGTTACTACAAGGGAATTTTATAGGGGACTCTACTACCTTCTAAAGGGCCTATACAGTAAGTGTTACTACAAGGGTCAGTATAGGGGACTCTACTACCTTCTAAAGGGCCGATAAGGGAAGGGTCATTTTAGGGGACTCTACTACCTTCTAAAGGGCCTATAAGGGTTCCTACAAGGGTCAGTATACGGGACTCTACTACCTTCTAAAGGGCCGATAAGGGTTACTACAAGGGTCATTATAAGGGACTCTACTACCTTCTCAAGGGCCTATAAGGGTTACTACAAAGGTCATTATAGGGGACTCTACTACCTTCTAAAGGGCCGATAAGGGTTACTACAAGGGTCATTATAAGGGACTCTACTACCTTCTCGAGGGCCTATAAGGGTTACTACGGGGGTCATGGGGACTCTACTACCTTCTCAAGGGCCTATAAGGGTTACTACAAGGGTCAGTGTTTGGGACTCTACTACCTTCTACAGGGCCGATAAGGGTTACTACAAGGGTTCATTATAGGGGCCTGAATAGTTAGAATAGGGTTTTGGGGGGACATGTTTTGGGGGGACATTATGGGGCAGTTGTGATAAGGAACCCCAGCTTAAACACATAGGCCGCGGCTCCTCCGCACGGCATCAGCACGAGCCTGTGCAGAACAGGACCGGGGACTTTCCGGCATCTGTAGCGAACAAAACTGCAGCTTGAAAAAAGGGCAAACTCGTCAGTCCACTCCCTAAATCAATCAATCCATCCATGCATCAATCAATCAATCAATCATTCATTCATTCAATCAATCATTCAATCAATCAGTTAATCAATCAATCAGTTCATCACTCAACAACAGATCAATCAATCCATCAATAGATCAATCAATCAATCAACAAACCAACCAACCAACCAACCAACCAATCAATCAATCAATCAGTCACTCAGCTACTCAGCCATGCAGAGGACGAAGGACTCTGTGATTCCGGTAACTAGCGCGGCTTGGGTGCTCTCCCTCTCTGAGGATTCTTCAGTATCTCCAGATCTCGTTCTCTTTCTTTCTCTCTCTCTCTCTCTCTCTCTCTCTCGCTCTGTCTCCCCGTCCCTCTCCACTGCATCATCTTGCACTTACAACTCCAGCATCCGGCCCCAGTGTCACTCATGAAGCGTGACAGCACAGGATGGTGTTCTGGGCTTGCTTCATCTCGCGTGGTGATTCGGAAGCATCAGGGTTTCAAGTCTCGAGTTCAAACCTTAACTGCCAGACATGCCCTTCGAGTAGGTCCACACAATCCTGATCCCACCCTCCCAATATCTGGAGCTCACGGTACTCCACAGTCTGAAAACCCATGAGGGTGATTTGGATAGTTCTGCATCCTGGGGATCCAAAGCAGTGCTGTTCCTGGTGTGCCTTGTGGTTTGCTATGATTTGCTTTATCCGTTGGCATCCGCTTGTAGCAAGCAGACCATTAGTCCTGGACATGTCTCAGCTTTGGGATGAGAATTGAAGGTTACTTAATGTAGGGGCCTTAATAGTTAGACTAGGGTTTTGGGGCCCATTATACTATAATTAAAATAAGAAACCCTAAAATAGTATGGATTTTTGTAGGCCCCTACATTACGTTATAACCACAAAGCCCCCTTTGCACGATCAGCTCTCATCAGCATTTACTTGCTACAGGGGCTCGAGCAAGAATGATCGGGTCTTGGAGTAGATATACTCTACTATGGTCATAAAGCGTAGGGGCCTTAATAATTAGAACAGGGTTTTGGGGATTAGTATACTATACTTATAACAAGGAACCCACCAAACAGTATGGGTAATTATTCAGGCGCCTATGTTAGGCACTATCGGCCTCCATGAATGCTCATCGTTCACTTGCCGGCAGATGTCATCGCCGCAACTTCATCCAATTTGGCCTCAGGGGCGGTCTTGCAATTTGGCACACGGAAGTCCTACTTCCCAAAGCCTGAAACCTAAACCCCTAAACCCCTAAACCCTAAAACCCTAAACCATAAACCCCTAAACCCTAAACCCTCCCCTAAACCCTAAAGGCTGCACACTTGTTGTGATACTGTCAAAGGAGGGCTCCAGATTTGGGGTTCAAGTTCAGGGTCAGGCTGAGAGTTTTGGTTTCAAGAAAACCAAAGCCCCTAGGTTTAGGGTTTGACCGGTTTAGGGTTTTGGCTTTAGGGTTTAGGGTCCTAAACCGTAAACCCTAAGCCCGAAACCCTGAACCCCCACACCCCCCGGCCCGACCCCTAACCACTGCAACCCGAAGCCCTAAACTCTCTAAGCCCTAGACCCCAAACTGCTAAACCCGAAACCCTACACCCCTAAACCCGAAACCTAAAATCTCGAAACCTGCACTCCGAAACCTAAACCCGTAAAGCGAACGGTTTAGGGTTTAGGGTTTAAGGCTTAGGGTTTTGGCGTTTAGGGCTTAGGGTTTAGGGTTTAGGGTTTAGGGTTCAGGAGTTTAGGGTTTAGGGCTTAGGGTCCTAAAGCTGTACAGACGATATCCTGGGCTCCTGGCCTCTAAGAGAGCCTCGGCCCTTGCTCGCCTTTCTCCGGCCTGAAAACCACACGGACAGAGGCTTCCGAAAGAGGTTCTGACTTCAGGGCGCTTTAGGGTTCAGGGTTTAGGATTGGGAGTTTGGATTTCAGGGTATAGGGTTGAGGGTTGAGAGTTTGGATTTCAGGGTATAGGGTTGAGGGTTGAGAGTTTGGATTTCAGGGTTCAGGGTTGAGAGCTTGGATTTCAGGGTTCAGGGTTGAGCGTTGGGGCCTTAGGTTTCGGGTTCTTCCGTCGGCTGCTTCTGAGGCTTCAAGAGTTTTAGGGCTGAGGGCCCTGAAGGTTTAAGGTCAGTGCCTCTCGGTTTAAGGCTACGGTCTATTCGGATGTGCAGGGTCTACCTGACCCTAAGCCCTAAACCCTAAACCCTAAATCCTAAAGCCTAAAGCCTAAAGCCGAAACCCTAAACCCGAAACCCTAAATCCTAGAGCCTAGACCCTAAACCCGAAACCCGAAATCCTAAAGCCTAAAACCCTAAACTCATATTTTGGCAGGGCTTTCTTGGGATGAAGTCCTTGTCTTGGCTCTCGCTTGCCATTTGGGGGTTAATATAGTCTGGATGCCTTCTAGTATAGGAACCTGATTAAGAAACCCTGGGTCTTTATTAGGATTCTTAATATGAACATTGACATAATTTGGGTTACAGGGCCAGGGTTTCTTAATCAGGTTCCTACATTAGCTCTGCCAGGGTTGGGGGTTTATGGGCTTCGGTGTTGTTAACTGGCAGGATTGGCAGGTGATGGGATTTCTCGATAAAAAAATCTAAGTCCCTCTGTCTTTATACTTTATGTTGGAGCTGATGCGTTGCAAGACCGTACAGCCTACACCTCCCCAACCAAACAGCCCTAAACCCCAAAGCCCTAAACCGTAAACCCTACTTCCCAAACCCTAAACCCTAAAGCCCTAGACCCTGACCCCTAAACCCGAAAGCCCTAAACCCTGAAGCCGAAACCCCAAAGCCCGACTTACACAGAAACCCCGAGCCTTCGTCATCTTGGCCTCCAACCTTTGCCGGCTTGCAGCTGTGGCCCAGCTTGCAGCTTTGGCTACTGTCTGCGCATCAGCCACGGCCGTCTGTCCGTCGACCTGCGTGTGCTTGGGATCAGGGTTTGGGTTTAGGGTTTAGGGTTTAGGGTTGCGGCTTTCAAGAAATGAGGTTGTGGAGGGAGGGAGAAAGGACATGGTATGGGTTGACACCCGCTAGTACTCGTGTCATGCTTCCGGCAATTTCTTTCAGGATCAGCACAAGATGGGACCTCTTGAATGTTTGCCTAGGACACTCGACACGTTCCGGACTACTTGGAACCCGACAAAGAAAGCCTGACATCACAACAAACCTTGGGTCTTTCCTAGGGCTCCTTTTATGGATCCTACTATTTTGGGGTTATAGAACCAGGACTCCCTTTGTGGATCCTACTATTTTGGGGTTGTAGGACCAGGGTTCCTTAATCAGGCTCCTACATTATCTGGATGATTTCCCAACCAAAGCTTCAGACTCCTGAGGCGAGGTGTAGGGTTTAGGGCTTAGGGGTTTTGGGGCTTTGGGGTTTTGGGGGTTTGGGGTTTTGGGGTTTTGGGGGTTGTTGGGGGTTTTGGGTCAGGGAAGACGTGGCGAGAGGGGGTTCCGGCCTCGGCCTTTCTGTCCCTCAACGCAGACTCAATTTCATCCGCGATTTGGTCCTGCGCCGAAACAAAGACGCCGGCAGTAGGGTTTAGGCTTTAGGAGTTTAGGAGTTTAGTTTTAGGAGTTTAGGGGTTTAGGGTTTCGGGTTTCTCCAGAAAGGTGGGGGGGGGGGTGGGCGTGTCTAGCCAGAGTGTGCAGGCTCAGGGCCGTCCTTCGTCTTGCCACAGCAGTCGAGGTACACCTTGCTTGGCGGCATTGCCTTCCTGATGAGGCGTTCGGCAAGCCCATGCTTGTCGAAAGGGTGGTCGGGGCCAGACGGCGGCTGGGGCGGGTAGATCTCTTCGACCTTCAGCGGTAGGATCTCTATATGATGCTGGAGGGCAAAAGTCAGCTCGGCGTTGGTAGAGTAAGGAGCGGCCATCTCTCCGTAGTCTGCTGTGCAGACTGCGAGCATCACGCCTCTTTTCGCCTTCAGCATCTGGAAATATCTGAGGGTCACCGCACCGAAGTCAGGGGCATCTGTATCTACCACGAGAATTCTGACGCAACGTCCACGGAGCAGCTCGCGCACATCTCGAAAAAGCCTTTCGGTGCCCTTGTTTCTTGCATTCCATTGCGCAGAGAACATGGCAATCGGAACCTGTGGCAGGGAGTGGAGCGCTTGCAGACGCGCGCATTTAGCCTGCGAGCCGACGTCGGCTGTTAAAGCCCATTCTAGTTATCCTCAAGATCAGGCTGGTTAGGATAAACTAGACGTACATAGGTTATGTAGGACCTAAATTGCGCACGGGTTCACCTCGTCTGCGGAGAAAAACGGGTTGAAGAGCAAAGCCGTCGGCTTTGACATGGTGTTGCCGCTGGTGTCCCAGACCTGGGTTGTCGCGAAGAGTTCTGGCTAGGCGAAGCATGAAGCCTCACCATGAGCAAAGAGCCCGTAGGTGACAAGACCCTTCTTAGTGAGCTACTCAATTTTCGAACGTCACTGTTGTGCGAAGCTGACGCCCTGAAAAACTGTCGCGACCTGTTGAATGCATCCCAACGACAGTCGAGGTCGCTGGCATCGGCTCGTCCAGAAACTCGTCCAAAAAGTTGTTGTCATCGCCCTCTGCGACAGCATCATAAGTCTCCTCAAGGCTCTCCACCACGGTCTGCAAGGCTGCTGCATGCACTTTGGCAGCGGCCTTTTGGATACTCTGGACAGACTCCTTCTCTGCAACCGCTTCATCAGACGATTCAGAGAACGTCACCATGCCTAAAAACTCCAGCCAACCTCCCTGCACCCTTTCATTGACCACGATGGCCAAGAGCTGTGCTCTCGTTAAGCCTCTATAGAGCCGTGAGCGTGTCTGTAAGTCTTCCAGGTGGCGCTGAATAGGAGCATCCAGCCCAACACAAACGACCACAAGCTGCTCCAAGCCATCTGCATTATCCACGGTATCGAGAACAATGTTCTCCTGCTGTGCCTGCACTGAGCTTTGCACCTCAAAACCTAGGCCACTCACCATCGAACTTCGAAGCCTCAACCCCGAATCTCAGATGTTGACAAGTCAAATTTCAAATTCCCCCAGTGCCCCAATGCACTCACAAACCTCCGATTCCCTCAAACGCCGCTATCCGTTTACAAACGCTGTATAAATGCGTATATGCACCTCACCTGATGTATGTAATGTATATGTATGTGTATATGTGCACACTGGCGGGAAAACGACTGCTGGTGGGGGGTTTGGGGAGCGCCGGGTATGTGCGAGTATGCACGGGTATGCCCTAGTATACCCGAGTATGCACGAGTATGCGCGTGTGAGCGCGGGTATCCGCGAGTCTGCGCGAGTATGCGTGAGTATGCGCGAGTCTGCGCGAATATGCGTGAGTATGCGCGAGTAGGCGCGGGTATGCGGGGTATGCGCGAGTAGGCCCGAGTATGCGCGAGTATGCGCGTGCATGCGCGAGCATGTGTGAGTATGTGCGCGTTTTAAGTACGAGCGAGTATGCACTATGCGCAAGCATTGTATTATATATAGTACATGACATACTGTATTTTATCTTGTTCATATACATGATATAGAAGAAACTGTATGTTGTTTATATTTCGTAGGCTAGGTATATCACTCTATATATATATATATATGTATCCGTATTATCTGTTTGCTTACACCATCTTATATTGTAGATAACGAAATATACAAGATATGTAAGAACTGAAGTAATTTTCTACTATGTAATATAGTGTGTGTGTGTGTGTGTCATGTGTCTTTTTATGTTATATACATACATATTGTTTTGGATTCTTTTCGATACATCATGTCTTAACAATGTTATGCAGAAAAACGAGAACAAATATATTTCATACTGCATAAAGCATATTATACACTGTACCTCAGATTTTACATAGTACATGCTACATATTAATGAATCGCATATCATATACCATATAGGTTGCATGTTTTATAGTAATGAATACAATGAATACCATGGTCGGTGTTTTCTGATAGCTGGTATACATTGTAATGCCACTCGGGCGTACTCGAGCATATTGGAGGTTACTCCAGCGTACTCGAGCATACTCGAACATGTTCGAGCATACTCGAACATGCTCGAGCGCACTCGAGCATACTCGAGCATACTCGAGCATACCGAGCATACTCGAGCATACTCGAGCACACTCGAGCGTACCCGAGCATACTCAGCGTACTCGAGCGTATGCGCGAGTACTCGGAGTGCCGTCGCCAATTGCGCCGACAATGTATATGTGCAGATGTGTTTGGGTGTATGCATGTGCATAAGCATAAGTACATGCATATTACGTATACGTAGATGTCTATTCATGTGTGTACCTGTATATCTATATGTCTATGTATATGCCTATGTACACGTGCACGTATATGTACATGTATAGGTATATGTCTATGCCTGTGTCTATGTCTATGTTTATGTCTAAAAAACTGATATGTACATTTTATATCTATGTAGACGTCGATGTAGATGTAGATATTGATGCATATGTGTATGTAGAAGGGTCCGGGATGAAGCTTCCCAGCAGCGAGGGCCAATGGCCAGGGACCCCAGTGCTCCTCAGCAATGGGCACGCCACGGGCCGCAGATGAACAGATGCATCCAGGAAGTCATGAGACGGTAGATCCCAACAACCGTGTGGAGCTGGAGGTCCTCTCAAAGATGGGCCACGGCGCAGGAATCCATTACCCCAGGTGACCGAGGCCAGGAGGACTTGCGGACCGTTCACAACAGTTGCCGCAGAAGATGCAACCAAGAGAGGGCTACATCACCGCTATCACAGACAGTACACGTTGATGTGTTTGGAGGTTGGTTGCCAAGATGGGCAGCGACTTCCTCCCTCGAGGCGCTACTGGGACTGTTGAAGGACACCGAACGGCAAATGGCGGTGGTCGTTTCCTGGGAGCCACGTGGACCTGTGCAACTTGCAGATGGAGGCTATGCAGTTGGGAGCGCGGTTCATTGTCACCCTAACTGGAGGCTTGAAGGACTCTGGAAGATGGTGTCCTCGATGGTAGAATGACCGTCAAGGCTCTTGTGGAGCACGAGTCTTCTGGAAAAAGCGAAATCGGCGAGCGAGGGTTGTCTGAGGGAGCACCTGCTAGTGTACGTTGGGCACAGTGTGTTATAAGTGTGTGGGATTAGCCCTGCAGTTTGCCTCTTCCAACCCCTGGTGGAATAGGCTCAAGGTAAGTGTAGTGGAAAAGGGACGATTGAATTTCTGCTGCGTGGAGTCTTGCTCGTAGTTCGCCTCATCCGACTCCGTGAGGAATATGCTTGAGCAAATAGTTTGTAGTTGCGTCTTCTTAGAGACTTTGGGTACATAGGATCGCACAATCCTTTGCCCTGCTTATCTTCCCTGCTTGCAATAGGATTCAAAAAGGTTCCTGCCCCATGAGAGCCTTTGGTCCAATACCAGTGAGATAGTGCCTCCGTGAGGGCATTTGTATATTGGGGCCAGGCTGAACGCACACATATTTGCGATAAGCTTTTAGTTTTGCACGCAGACCCCAACACTTTAAGGAGGGCCTTTTGCGGTTGTCTTTACTGGCCTGTTAGACTGCATTGTGGCTTCCCTACTCTGTCTTGGGGTTTCGCTGATTTCTGTTCCGAGTGTTATGTAGTAGCCCCAAGTATATATAGCGGCCCCCTGAGCTTGACCCAAGCCCAGGGGCGTTACCCGCCGCGCCGCGGGTACAAAGTAGTCGCCGAGCACATACAGCCCCCATTTGAGCATCGCAAACACATAATCATCTGCATGTTTTGTTCGGCTGCGTCCGACTTGGGTTCCGTGTTTTTGAAAGTCAAAAAAGTCAAAAAACGAAAATGATGTGCATGTAGATACAGATGTAGACGTATCAGCTTATGTCCATATACATGTACATGTGTATGATTGTGTGTATACATACATATGTATATATACATATATATATATACATATAAATATATACATACACACATACATGCATGCATACACAGATATACATACACAGACATACATACATACAGAAACATTATGTGTGTGTGTGTAGTTTGCTCTGCCTGCTTGCTTCTTCCGAGCAGGCGCTCCGGCAGGCAGCTCAGGGACTCCTCGAAGGTGACGAGGCGCAGGGAGCGATGCGGGAACTCCCGGCTCCTGGGAGCGCTGTCGGAGTAGGGCTTTGGGGTCTTTAGGGTTTAAAGTTTTTAGGGCCTTTAGGGTTTATGGTTTAGGGCATTTAGGGTTTAAGGTTTCTTTAGGGTTTAGGGGTTTTTTGGGTCTTTGGGAACTTTGGGGGTCAGAGATTGGGGTCTTTAGGGGTCAGAGTTTAGGGTCTTTAGGAACTTTAGGGTCAGAGTTTAGGGTCTTTAGGGCTCAAGGTTTTTAGGGTCTTTAGGGTTCATCGGGTGCAAATGACGCGGCTTGGGAAGCCGGGCTGGGCTGCAGGATTACTGTATGGACGTTCATAATTAGAATAACGTTTTGGGACCCAATATACTGTAATTATAATAAGGGCCCCCAAACTACTAGGGACGTTAACAGTCTAACTAGGGTTTTGGGACCCATGAAACTATAATAATAATAATAATAATAATGAGCCCCCATTAGGGTTTCGGGTTTAGGGTTTAGGGTTTAGGGATTCGGGTTTAGGGTTTAGGGGTTCAGGGGTTTAGGGGTTTATATAGGGGTTTAGGGTTTAGGGTTTAGGGGTTTAGGGGTTTAGAGTTCAGGGGTCTGGGGTTTAGGGTTTAGGGTTGTTTGGGGTTTAGGCAGCCCAGTTGCAAGTCTTTCTCTAAGACTCGCTTGATCCTCTTGCAGATGTCGGAGTCTGGAACGAGGAGGGCGACACGCCCATGAAAGCTGATATCAGGGAACGTCCTGGGATTTTGAGAAGCCCAACAAACATGAAAAATGCTTAGACCTGCTTGTATCTTGGAGGAGACCGGGACCAAGACTCCAACGAATCAAGGGATTTGAAAGCCGAGGGTCTTTGCCACATGCCAGAGTGCTTTGATGATCTGCTTTGCATACGCCTTCGGCAGGTCCTCTCCCACCTCGCTGGCCGCATCGAAACCCCAAATATAGGGTTTAGGGTTTAGGGTTTAGGGTTTAGGGTTTAGGGTAGCAAGACTGGGGGTTTAAGATGTGCGTAAGCGACACAACCCAGAGCCTAAACCCTAAACCCTAAACCGCCTAAACCCACAGAGCATCTGAGCTGCTGGGTCGAAGAGGAAGGTCTTCAGGGGCGGTCCGTCGGAGCCCAAAGAACTCGCATCGTCTTCTCCCTGCGTGTTCAGCTGAAACCTTAGGTGCAGAAACTCACTTAGGGTTTAGGGAATGGACAGCAAGATGCACTGTTGAATTAGCGGGCTCTCACGAAGCCTATACACACATGCTCTCTCTTTCGGCATGCCATGTACAGGGCAGGAGACGTGGCTGCACCTGCGACAATGCGCTTAGTGCTGCGGACCACCTCGGAAAGTTTCACCCTGGCCATGTCGGGATATGTCCTTGGCTCTCAACTTTCAGGATTGTGGTGGTGGTGGTGGTGGTGGTGGTGGTGGTGGTGGTGGTGGTGGTGGTGGTGGTGGCGGCGGTGGCGGCTAGAGTTCAGGGTTTAGGGCAGTTTAGGGTTTAGGGGCTTCGGGGTTTACGGCTTAGGGCTCTTGACACCGTCCGAAGGTCTGGCTGACCGAAGCCGACTGCGACTCATCTGACAGAAGCAGTCGGCGCTTTGCCGATAGGCTTGGGAGGAGCGTCGAGCTCATCTCCTAAGTGTTGCACGCACTCCCGACGGCTGGGTGCGATGCTGCAGGGCTTGATCTGCAATCTTCTAGCGAAGCACGACATCCAAAACAAAAAACACGAAGACAGCCAATGGTACTCCTGGTGGATGGCCAGGCGACTTCAGGCGGAAGAGAGAAGATGTGGTGGCTTTCATCGTAGACAACCATGTCACACTGTTCTGCACCGGGTTCGGCCACACGTCGGAGTATGTGATCACCGTCCAGAGAGGGCAGCTGGAAGTGTTTGAAGGGGCTGTGCAGCAAAGTGATTCTGGAGAGCACCTGCTGGATCCTGCTTTGCACCAGCTCTGGCTCGCTGTGATGTCTGTGCGCCGAGGTTCGCGATGCAAGTCGCATGGAGAGCCAGCGAATGAAGTGGAGGCCGAGGCTTTCGGAGGGAGCGACGTAGAGAAGCCGGGCTGAGGGATGGGTGTTGAGATGCTCGAGCACGTGCTGCACCGCAACGAAGGTCTTTCCCGCACCCGCCGGGGCAGAGAGATGAACGTCGTCGAGGCCCTCCATCTCTTTCAGCTTCACCTGGCCGGTGCTTCGCAAACTGCTTCGATAATGGCTGCTACTGGCTTCCTCTTGGGAGTCATGAAAATGGAGAATCAATAAAGAGTCTACTGTAATGGAGAGTCTATATACACCTCGTCGTCAGCTTCTGGAGGGAGGGGGGGGTTCAAGCGCTCCGGTCAGCCTGCTGATGCTCGGTCAACTCCGTCAATCCCAGGAGGCTATCCTCGTAGAGCTCGAAGAGCCGGCCCTTGTCGAACTTGACCTTGAACTCCTGAGCTCTGGGTGTCACTGTCTATATATGGCAGGTATCTGCTGGGTGTCAGCACACTCTTCGTCAACAAAAAACCGCAAGCCCCTCAAAGAGGGACAATGCCCTAAACCCTAAAGCCCTAAACGCTAAACCCCTAGACCCTGAACCCTAGACCCTTGGATCCATGGCGACGAAGGCTCTGGTGACCCCTGGGCCAAGCCTTCGTTGACGCTGCGATCGAACTCGCCGCTCAAGACGCGATCCTGGCTTGCTGTTCAGGAACTTAATCTAAGTTACCATCATGGGGATATACAGCAAAAAACAAAGCTTTCTTATTGTTGTAACTTAACCTGATTTCCTTAACAGCAACCCAGGATCTCTCAGTGCGAGCAGCGCCTCGACGTTGGGAATCTGAATGACGATGCTCAGCGCCGGGGTGCCGCTGCGGAGGCGGCAGGCGGTGGGATGGCGCAGGGCAATGTCGGCCAGGCATCGGCGCAACGCCGGCTCCAGCACGTTCCCTTACCCAGAGACTCCCTTAATTAAGGAATATACCTTAAATTATAGTAGGATCCCTAATATGATTTAAGGTATATTCCTTAATTAAGGGACATTGGAGTCTCTGGGTAGTCAGCATGACTGGATGGAGAGCCCTCTAGAATCTACTCCCTGGGATCGTCTATTCAGCACAGTGAAGGGGCTACATGCCACACACACCCTCCTGTCTTCGCACAACCAACGGCCCCCTCCCCAAACCGAACAAGTCTACGCCCTGACTGACTCTGGAGATGCCGTGGAGTTTATCCGTTTCGACTCTCACCGAGCTACGCCAAGAACCGCGGGTTGTGGGGAGTTCGGGTGATGCGGTTGTTGGCCCTGACTTTACTGTGCAAGCTGCAATGCGAGCGCAATCGATAAAGCAATGCCGCATTCTGTGAGAAGATTATGCTTAAGTCATCTTAGGCCGACGCCCCAACGGTGCAGCAGCTGCTCAACCGCCACGTTGAGGTGTCGGACTTGGCTGGCCTCAAACATTTCCTTCGTGCTTTTTCATGGTTTTCGGGACCACCGCAACTCTTCTAGCCGATCCCTCCGCTACAACAACCGACAGAACTCACTTCCAAAAGGCATCCGAGGGTCACCAGAGTCGTCGTCAGACTTGATCTGCCAGAAAAACTCCGTGGACTCCTCACCGGACTCGGTTTTTGTCACTTTTTCCATCTGTTTCACCACGATGCCCTTGCGCCATCGGGAGTCAGCTTCGGTCTCATGCAAAGCATCCACTTGGGCGCCCGGTGGAAACTCATCTTTGAGAAATGCCGTGACATCCACCTCCTCATAGTGCCATCCGGAGTGCTGCTTCTGCATGAGATTCGCTGTTGCAAGCTCGGCTTTCTGCGAGCCGCCACATCCGAACTCGGCTGTCTAGTAATAGTTGGTGGGGCGATGACAGAGTTTTTCAATGGATCCACTGTAACTGTAGATGAGGCAAGTACACTGCAGCTTAGCTTGGAAAAGGCCAAAATGGCTGGGTCATGGCCCAGGGCAAGGCACTGTTTCAGCGCTGCAGCTTACCCTGCCGTCGAACCCAAACCGACCACACGGCCCAAAGCTTCAAATCCTAAACCCATACGAACCTAGGGTTGAGAGTTTAAAATTCAGGGTTAAGGGTTTCAATAGGGTTTAGGGTTTAGGGTTTAGGGTTGAGGGTTTAGGGTTTAGGGTTAGGGTTCAGGGTTAAGGGCTTCCTAAGTCCTTCAACTCATGGAGCCCGAAGCTTGGAATCTGGAACGCAACAGAAAAGACTGAGTCCTCAAGCAGAGTTCTAAAGGCCCCAAAGCGCCGAACTCCGGAGGCCTGGCTCAATCACCACCCTAAACCCTAAACCCTAAACCCTAAACTTCTGCGCCCCTGAAGCGCCCTAATAGAGGGGCCTCAATAATTTCTAAGAGGGTCTTGGGGCCCATTATACTGTGATTATAATAAGGAACCCCCCAAGAATAGTATTAGCAATTACTTAGGGCCCCTACATGAAGCCCTGAACCTTCAACCCTCAACCCTAAACCCTAAACCCTAAACCCTAAACCCTAAACCCAAAGGATACCTTCAACCAGAGATAAATCGGGCCGGGGATCCCCATCCCAAAGGTCCACCTCGCAGTTGGAGAGGTCCTCCATGCGGGGAATGCCGTAACCCACCTGGCCCGGTAGGTATGAGGGTTTAGGGTTTAGGGGTTTTTCTTTTTTTTCAGCTCAGGGTTTAGGGGTTTAGGGTTTAGGGTAGAAGCTTGCAGGACGGCTTTACCCTTCAATTTCTATTGCGGCGTCGTGCTGATCCCACCTGACGGGGAAAGAAGACTGCCTTCAGCCGCTGCTTCTTCTCCACAGCCGTGCATGCGAGGTCGAACCAGCGTTTGTACCAGGCACATCCCCAGGAGGCTGTGCGGCCCATCTTCTCCCATTGCTCTTCAGCTCTCTTCGTGGCTGCTTCCTTCTCTTCATCGGTTGCATCTTGACGGATGGGGACCGCGTTCATTGCAGCGGCTTTCTCCCAGTGCTTCTTGATCCTGTCGTCCGTGTACGGTGCCTTCAGGACTGAGAGGTAGCCGAACGCCCTGAAGTCGCGCTCGCCATATATCCGTGCGCAGTAGCACTTCCCCGGATTCTGGGGATCATCCGCGTGCTTTCCCAGGCCTCAGGATCAGAACGAGTTGAGAGATGCGAAACTTGGACCAACAGTTTCTATGCCAAGAGGATGTGTCTTCCGTTGTTGGGTGCTCAAGCCTGAAAAATGGAGCAATGTGGCCTAGACTTGAGGGCTGAGAGTTGAGAGTTCGTGAATCTTGATTGTTAGGTCGCGACTCTAGATGTCGTCACAAGTCTGTCGGGTGCCAAGAACCTAATCGACATGCCTTTCCTTGCAGCAAAACCGAGCTGGATAACTCACAACTGTCAGAATTGGCCAACGTTGGTTGCAAATGTAACCAAGATTGGCAACGGCTACTCCAGATTTACACTAATGACTGCGTATTGTAAGTAGGCAGGGCAGCTGTCGGGCGGGCAGGCAGGCAGGCAGGCAGGCCGGCGGGCAGGCAGTTTGGAGGCATGCAGGTAAGTAATTAGTGTGTGTCATGTACCTAGTGACCTGGTGCGTCATAGCCTGTGCAATGTATAGCCTGCATGTCATCGGATTATCCATATGTTCATGCCGATGCACCTGCTTGCTTTATAGCTGTAGACTGATATACCTATTCATTCAGGTGCTTGACCGTTGACAGCTTTACGCGCTGATGCGTGTACACTTCTATTTTTTGCATTCATATTATGCTACGGGTTACACAAGTCACCTGAGGTCGGGGCCGTCGGCTGGGGAGCAGAGGAAGACACAGGCCACCGAGTCAAGGTGAAACTCCTGCCGGAAACAATCTGATGTCGGGGCCTTAGTCTTTAAATGGGGTTTTGGGTGATATCTGCATACTCTGTACGCATCATATGCATATATATATATATATATATGTGTGTGTGTGTGTGTGTATATATATATATACACACACACACGCGCCATAAGTGTTTAGGGACTACGGCCATAAGAGCATATTCGCAGTAGACATATAGGGACTTCAACTAAAGGCATGACATACTTCCTAATGCTTCTACCTTAACAGTTTTACGATTCTGCCAACCCTTGGTTAGGTCTGAGGTCGAACGCCAAGGTGTCCAAAGGAGACAAGAGCTCTAGGAACAGCCCTCACTTATAAGAGTGACCACGAGGGCCTAATAAGAGACTGTAAGGGCGACTACAAGGGTCGCAACATGCATAAGGCTTACTGCGGAAGGGTTAGCACGCTTGAAACCCAGTGCAGTCCTTACGCAACTAAGACCCCTGCCCCCTAAACCCTAAACCCTAAACCCTAAACCCTAAACCTTAAACCCTAAACCCTAAACCCTAAACCTTAACCCCAAAGAGCAGCACAGCACAGCAGCCGAGCTCCTTCACCAGAGCTTCCCAGCCTCCGGCTGCTAAAGCTTTCAGTCTTAGCTCAGCTCCCACGCAATTTTGGGCTAAAGAGTCTAGGGGTTTAGGGTTTAGAGTTTAGGGTTTAGGGTTTTGGGTTTTAGGGTTCAGGGTTTCAGGGTTTCAGGGGCTTGCAAAAGCTTCGCGGGTGGTGGTACAAGGCTTAAATGAAGCTCCCTAGTCCCCAGCTCAGGGTGTTACCAAGGCATCCTGACCGTGGGAGTCAAAAGCCCCGGAGACGGTCGGAAACCCCCTCCACCAAGCCCACAACCCTAAACCCTAAACCGTAAACCCCTAAACCCTAGACCCTAGACCCTACACACCCGGAAGTCTCACACCCGGAGTCTGCCTAGAACGAAACCCCAAAAAATCTCCGAGTGCTCAGGCCTGCGGCATACTTTCCCGGGAAGGAAATCCAGCAAGTTGTCGCGTCATCCCGGATGTGCCCATGGTAGCTGGGGTCGATTTCCGCCGACTCGGCAATAGCGGCTTCCTGATCTCGTGCGTCTGGTGCAGGCGGAGACAGTAACACCAAATAAAAACTTAGAATAAAAAGTGCCTCAGAGATGGCCCCGGTCTGAAACCCAGGACCAAGAAGCAACAGAACGCTAAGAGAGCACAATCAACTTCCTCTTCTCGGTTTCAACAATCTTGCCAAACCCTAACCTCGAAAAGCCCTACTCAACCCCTAACCCCTAGTTTACCCCTAAACCTAAACCCTTAAACCCCTCAACCCTAAAGAACCATCCGCTTCGAGCTGCTTCCTTGAGGCTCAAGAGCAAAGTCTCTCGCAATGCCGTCATGGGCGGCAGCACCAAGCCTCGATTCAAACGATCCCTCTCTCTCCTTAGATAGCCCAAAAGGCCTACCTTTTTCGGATTCCTGCTTATGTTATCTATACAGAGGTACATTATATATATATATATGTATATTATATATATATATACTATATATTATATATATACTATATTATATATATATATATATACACACACATATAGTTGCTGCTGGTCTTCCGAATCCTCTAACCCCCCAGAGAATCCAAACCTTTCGCAAACTGACAATCCGCCCCAAACCGGCCAAAGCCTTTTGGCTGACACTTGCTGGTTTAGGGTCTAGGGTTTAGAATTTAGGATTTAGGGTTCAGGGTTCAGGGTTTAGGGTTTAGGGTTTAGGGTTTAGGGTTCAGGGTTTAGGGTTTAGGGTTTAGGGTTGAACCACTACACCCGCAACCCCACCTGTGGCCCAACACTTCTCTTTTCAAGGAGTTCTATGATTATATACATATATATATATGCCTAAACTCTAAACCCTAAACCCTTTATAAAGCCTACATCCTGAACCCTCAACCCTAAACCCTCAACCCTGATCCCTCAAACCCTAAACCCCAAACCCTGAACCCTAAACCCTTTACAATGCCTAAACCGTAGGACCCCAACCTGCTCGCAACCGGCTGCTGGCCTCACAGAGCTGGGTCCATAGGGGCTTTGAAATGATAGGCTTGGGTTTAGGGCTTGAGGGATTCGTGCTTAGGGTTTAGGGTTTAGGGTTTGGGGATTGGGGTTTAGGGATTAGGGTTTAGAGTCAACAGTTCTGAGCAAGCTTCCTATTGCAAACTCAGACATCATTCTTACCGCTGTCATCATGTTCACTGTATCTCGCTCTGTCCGTCTCGATGGCTAGTGACATGATCTCTTTAGCTACATCCTCGGCATCGTCCGCACTGCATACTAGAAGATTCTTGGCTTTCCTCGTTGCTCAGGGTCTAGATGACTCTCATGATTCTGCCGATTCATATTCCTGCTTCTCATTATTCCTGCACTTCACCTTAGTCTCAACAGTGCCACTCTCATCGTTCTGATTATTCTGGTAGTTTTGATGTAGAACCTTGACACAACGAGAAGAAAGAGTGCCAACTACTCCCAGATGGTCCCTAAGCCCTAAACCCTGAACCCGAAACCCGGAAACCGCGTGTAGCCGCAGCTTTCAGCACACAGGGCTTGCTTGGGTTGTGGTTCAGGCTTCGAGCATGACAGGGTTCGAACCCAAGTGAATTTTTCTTTCAAGGGAACGAGTGATCCCTTTAAGGGTTCTATGGGGTTCTATATGGATCTATACTAGGCTTGCCCATGAAGGGTATTATGGGGTTCCATAAGAGGGTTCCATTGAAGGGTACTATGGGGTTCTATATAGACTCGAGTCATTTCTGCGTGAAAAACTCTCCTCCTCACAACGAAGCGAGCGAGGCCTGAAACAAATCCATCTCTTAGAGGCCTCAAAAGGTGGGATTAAGGTAGGTAGGATGCAGGATCCCTTGTATAAGGACTCTTCTTGGCCATGGCGCCACCTACCTTCATCCCACCCTTAGAGCTCTTTGAACCTCTTCGCTCCACGCCGCCCTAAACCCTCAACCGTAAACCCTAAACCCTAAATCCTAAACCCTAAACCCTAAACCCTAAACCCCCTAAACCCTAAACCCTAAACCGCCTTGACGGAAGCGCCTCGTCGTCATGACGGTCGCGTCAGGGCCATTGCACCAGTTGAGCGGCGCTTCGGGCTGGGAGGCCGGGCCCGGTGCTGTAAGAGAGGTAGGGTTTAGGGTGTAGGGTTTAGGGTTTAGGGTTTAGGGTTTAGGGTTCAGGGTTAGGTACCTCGGATGGCCCCGCAAAGCCACTGAAAAATGTTGGTACATAAGATCCCCTGAAGCATCCTTAAACCAATATGAAATATGAAATATCCCAAAAGCCTCCCTAGTTACCTGCACCTGATGCTTCAAACACACCAGAGATGCGACATCTGCTGGCGAAGAAGGCTTCCAGCTCAAGCTCCGTGTTGTTTCTGACTGGTTGTTTCTGACTGGTTCTGCATGCACTGATCTGCCCGCGGCCGGCAAGAAGCGATGAGAGCCTAAACCCAAAGCCGTATACATTAATCCCTAAATTCCACATCCCCAGGCCCTAAATGCCCTAAACCCGATCCCCTAAACCCCAAAACCCGAGGCTCTAAATGCCCTGAATCCTAAACCACAAACTCCTAAACCCGAAACCCTACACCCTAAATCCAAAACCCCAAAACCCGAAATGCTTAGACCCATACCTTGGCGGCCGAGATTCAGCATCCCGGGCTCTGGGATCGGGAATGTAAGCTACCATCATTTGCTCGGTTTAGAGTTTAGGGGTTTAGGGGTTTAGGGGTTTTGGGGTTTAGGGGTTTAGGGTTCAGGGTTTAGGGTTTAGGTTACTCTTTTAAGGCTCCTTCAGGGGCTCTATAAGGGATCTTGTTCAGGAGGTTGGTTTTTTGTTACCTCAAAGGAAAGCATACCAATTACTATAGATCCCTATTTGGATATATCGGAATTAGGGTTCAGGGTTTAGGGTTTAGACTACCTTCCCCAAACCCTAGACTTAAACCCTCAGCCACACCAGACCCCACATTTCCCTAAGCCCTAAAAAAACCCTAAGAAGCCAACCTTGGGGCCCCAATCCAAGTACCCTATATAACCCTTCTATACCCCTTATATAGTCTCATAAAGCCCCTATATAACCCCGAGGGTCCCTCTATACCCCTTATATAGTCTCACAAAGCCCCTATATAATATCAAGGGTCCCTTTAAGGGTCCCTCCTCCGCACCGAGAGCTCCGGGGCTGTGGGACTCTACAGTCGGAGTTGAGACCGGCCCCGGCTTGCGGGCTGAAGAGTAGTTTAGGCTAATGTAGCGGCCTTGATAATTAGAATGGGTCCTTTATACAACAAGAATACGGAACCCCCCAAATAGTATAATTAAGTAATTATTTTGGCTTCATATTGAACCCTAAACCTTAAACACGCAAAACCCTAAACCCTAAACCGGTAGATCGCAAAAAAGGGTCTAGCGTTTAGGGTTTGTTTTTTGTTGAGACCCCCTTTTTCGCGCGCCGGTGATACCCTTGAATCAGAATGTCTATCAGTCAGAGTTGTTTGCCGGGCAAAGGGTTTCCCCCGCGAGGTGTGGGGCCTTTGGGGTTTGGGGGTTTAGGGTTTCGGG